GAGACACTCTTTAATAAACTATTGTACATGTCTGTGAAAATCATCATCGCAACACTGTTTAATCCAGTTCAATGTCTGCGGAGTGGCCCATGTTTCTGTCTTCCTCTGTACACTTCCTACTTTAAGAGCAGCTGTAACCCCCCAACAATTGGTGACTATCATGCTTAATTCAGCTGCTAACAGAGGTCATGTGGTTACCAGTCAAGACTTCCAGTTATGCCTGTAGAAGATGAGTGGGTACAGGTGCCCTGTGCCAGTGACTCAGCCAGCCGTGCTGTTGGGAGTGAGAGTGGAGACCAGCTCTTCAGCTCTTGGTTGTCCTGTGTGGATTGCATATGGGAAGGAGGAAGAGGAGAGGCTTTGTCGGTGATGCTGGAAATCCTGTTTGATTCACCTGATTGTATGTCTCTGGGGGAAGTGTGATACAATTATTCAAGGCATAAAAATAACACTTTAAAGTCTTCAGATTTTAATAGCATTCTTTCAGAAGCCTTCCTGTCAGCCATGTGTATTACCACACTTTGCACTTGCAGTTTGTTTCTGAAGAAGTCTTTGAGCCTCTAACAATTCTTTTCACCTCCATTCATGTCATGAAACATGAGAGACTAAGTTTTGCTTGTGTTCTTCTTTGAACTTCCTAACATTAGCTTTGCTAAGTTTCATTTTCAGAGATATTGAGGGACCTGAAAAATTGAAATTCTTGATGGGTAATATGATATGATTATTGAGAAATTGGCTATTGACCAAAGAAAGCTATAGGTGAAAAAAAAATTGGACACAATATCCATAAGTTGAATTAATAGCTGAGCAAGAGTTGAAACACTGTTTGAGCTTATCACTACAACCTCTCTCATCTACCTTTATCTGTCCTTCCATTTAGAGTAATATTTTTTTAAGTTTGACAGGATGCTACTCTACTACAATCTTGGATCTAGTAGATATTTGTATTTTACTTTATTTTTTATGTATCTAGTACAGGGTCTACCGGGTCTCACTACCTAGATCGGACTCATAGTGATCCTCCTGTTTTTAGCCTCCCAAGCGCTGGGATTACAGGGGCTCACCATCACGTCCAGTCTCAATCGCTGTCTAGCGCGCCCTGGGGGTGGGCCTGGCATGGCATGCTGGGGATTGAACCCCAGTCCCTGTGTCTGCCTAAGCAGGTGCTTTAATCTGCTGAGCTATCTGGCTGGCCCTTTGTAGATATTTTCTTGCATGGACACAAGGAGATACATTTTCAAAGACAGCATGCATTATGTTATTGAAGGCATTATCAAAATCATAATGTTTATGTAACAATAGATGATGATAAAAATTTCCCTTAAATACTATATCCATAAAGGACAGTTCTCCATTCCAAATCATTTTGAAAACATTGACCATTGCCCAGTTGTATATTCTGTGTCTAAAAGAGAATAAGGACAGTATTATTTTAGTTACCGATGTTTATATAAAATAAAAATCCATAGTATTTCCTCAGTTAATTGTCCTTGCCTGGCAAGTGCAAGGTCCTGATATAAATCAATCAATCAATCAAACATAGTGATTACTTCAACCCATGTAGCAATGTCCCTGCTTCTCATACACCCCAGCTTCACTTGATTTCTCATTTTACAATAAAAATGGACATTTGTCCCATTCCTTACAAAGTTGTACAGAATTTGCTGCCAGTCCACTTACTTTTACATCTGCCTTGCTGGCTCATTCTCAGATGCTGGGGGCTGCCTGCTCTCCTTCTCCTATCTCGGAAAGGTTCCTGTCTCAAGGTCTGTGTATCCCCTGTTTCCTCAGGTGTCTGCATGGCTCACTTCCTTACCTCCTGCTGGAGTGTGTCTGCAGGCAGCCCAGGAACTCCTCCCCTGCCACCCTATGCAGATTGCAGTTGCTCTCTTTAACCAGTTTTGACAAATGGCCCATATCGTAATGGCTTATCTTGACTGTCAAGTTGACTGACTTGGAGCCCCCTAAGGGGTTAGTAAGGTGCACTTCTGGGTATGTCTGGGTGGACCTCAGGGCTGTGACCTTGGGTTTCCTTGAGTACGACCCTGGCCTCTGGCCCCTGGCTTCCTGGCTTTTCCTCTGCTCTTTGCTTTCCAGATATCGTGGGTTGAACAGCTTCTCTGTGCCGTGCCCTTCTGCCATATTTCTTGAAGCCATCCCACCAGGGACTGGCACTTCTGAAATTGTGAGCTCCAGTGACCCTCCCTATGCAGCTGTAGCCATCAAGTGTATGGTGAAGGAAAACTAACCAATACACTCACAGGTCTACATTTCTTATCTCTTTCGCACAGAATATAACCTCCAACAGAACAGTGTTATTGTGTTCTTGTCACCTCAGTCCGTGCCTGGCATAAGGCAGACACTAAATACATGTGGAATAAACAAGCAACTATATTCAAACAACTTGAATAAAAATACTTAAATATTCTCTAACAAATGATAGATCTAACTAATGTTTTTCTGGTGTTGTTCCCAAACTCTTCTCTCAGGGGTGACTGAGAAAAATGCCATGTATCATTCTGCATCTGTTAGGATGTCATTCCTTGGTTTTCTGTCTCCTGTGTATTTTGTCCTGCAGGATATTGGAGTGACCATTTCTGCTGTACTAATATAAGGAATTCCTGATTCTCTGCTTGCAGATGCTTAGGAGTTAGGCTTTTTTTTATTTTATGTATATGGTAGAGCGTCTCACTATGCAGTTTAGACTCATAGTGATCCTCCTGTTTTCAGCCTCCCCAGTGCTGTGATAGTGTACAGAAATACCTGAAAGTTTATGATTCGGCTCACGAACCAAAGAGCTGTGTACAGAATGAAGCAAAGCACACAAGTGGAGCTTTTGGCTCAGCAGCAACACCTTCTGCATTCCCCCCAAAAGGCGTGCATGTCTGGCCACGGATGGTCACTGCAGTTGTGCTGTGACATCACAAATCCACAATAAGCTCATCCCACACAGGTGCAGCGGTTAGTCAGATGGTCAGGAATTGAGGGAAGAAGGGAGAAGACAAGGCTGCTGAGCTGAGGCACATGTTTCCTGAAGATTTAGTAAACAAAAACATGTGCTGGAATTCTAGCACCTGTTGACAGGCCTGAATTTTTTTTTCTTCATTTAATTTACTTCATACCTTTGTGAGGACTCTCAAATGAAATTCATGTAGCAATTCCACTTATAGTCCATATAATTTGTTTGAAATTCATCCAGGTTAACCTATGAATGAAATAGGTTAATCTACTTCTTTCTTTTTTTTTTTTTTTTTTTTTTCTTTTTCTTTTTTCTGTATTTTACAGAAGGGTCTACAGGATGTTCAGGTTCTCCCTACTAGATCAGACTGTAATGATTGTCCTGTTTACAGCCTCGCAAGTGCTGGGATTACAGACATGCACCACCATGGCTGGTCTCCATCGCAGTCTCAGCGAACCTGGGGGGTGGGACTGGCACGGTAGGCCTTGGGGATTGAACCCCTGGCCTCTATACCTGCTTGCAGGTGCTTTAATCTGCTGAGCTATTTGGCTGGCCCTAACCAGTGCTTTTTTTTTTTTTGGAACCGGGGATTGAACTCAGATCCTTGCGTTTTCCAGTCAAGAGCTTATCCTACTGAGCCATCTCCCCGGCCCCATACCAACTCAGCCCACCCAGGGAGCCAGGGCTGCCATGGCATGTGCTCTTGGGGATTGAACCACAGTCCCTGTGCTTTGCCTAAACTTGCCTAAGAAGGCACTTAAAACTGCTGAGCTATCTTGCCGGCCCAAAAAGTTGAGAAGGATTTTTTTTTTTTTTTTTTTTTGCTAGCTCAGCCTGCCTAAAGACGTGGAACTGGGGATCCAATCGTGGTCCCCTGGACCTGACTGGGTTTGCCCACACAGGTGCTTAAAGCACTGAGCTAACCCACAAACTCCCAGGTTAACCTATTTCATACCAATGCTGTTTATTCTGAACCAGTTATATGTATATAAGAACTCCAAGAGCATGAACGGCTAGGCTTGGCTTCAGCAAGCAGGAAATTCTGTAGCCTGCAATTCTTGCTGATCCAGCTAGAAGAGGCCAAATGATGCATTTTACTTCCAGGTGCTAGTGCCGGGTTTTCATATTCCACGTGCTATAAATAGCACTCCGGGGCACACTTGAGGACACTGAGCGTTTTCTTTGCAGTCCAGTTTGATGTTTGCAAAAAGAGAGTCACGCTGTCTGGTTCAACCCGAGTCACCTGCCTCTGCCCTGACTTCCACACAGTACCATCTGGTTGAGTGCTCGCTTGCTCGTAAACACAGTGTTTGCCCTCAGCAGGTCCTTCTGCGCTTTTGATTGCGCTGCCTCCCCTGTCGGCCAGTATCCTACTTGTTCTTGGAGGTTCATCCCCAGGGAGAAGGCTCGCCCTATCCCGCCGGGCCCAGGCGCCTTCCTGCCCCTCTGGTCGGTCCCCTTAGCGAGTGGTGCTCCTCTCTGGGGCAGAACCCAAGCATTTCAGCACCGCTGTTGTCCCTCCTCTCCTCACATCTAATTTATGAGTCCTGACACTGCGACTTCTGTGTCCTTGCTCATGTCTCCAACAGCACAGGAAATACCCAGAGACCCCTGTGCAGTGGATGACTGATGGTGTGAGTGGAAGCAACTGCAGTCAAATAGGGCACCGGAATTCATCTGAGTTTGTTCCTTCACTGTAATGCCCTTAAAACTAATTCTGTGTTTAGTTTGAATTTTTATTTTGTTTTCCCAGCAAACACCCTCTGCTATGTGCTTGGCCAATTTGACAAAGAGAAAAAAGATTAAATTTAAAGACATGCCAGGGGACTATTTTTTGTTTTGTTTTGTCTTTTTTTTTTTTAATTTCAAAGAAACCAACTACTTTCCTCCGTAAGGATTCTTGGCATCTTCCCTCGCACATGGTCTTTTTGCCTGGCCCAGCCTTCATTCATCTTCCTCCAAAGGGTCTGCTGTAAACGATGATTTTTTGTGAGGTTGTGTGTTCTCTGCAGTGAAAACCCGCCTTGTTTTCTGTTGCTAGGCAACCCCCTTCCAGCTGCCATTGAAGAAATGCGCGGTGGTGGGAAATGGTGGGATTCTGAAGAACAGTGGCTGTGGCCGGCACATAGATGCAGCAGATTTTGTCATGCGGTAAGAGAGAGCACCACAGCTCGGCCTCCGCCTTCTCTCCCATCCCCGCCCCTCCCGTGGGCCCCAGGCCTTTCAAAACTAGTCACTTGTCATTAATCAGCTGAAGCTTCCTCTTAGGCTTCCCTCAAGCTCATACACAATGGAGTCCCTGAGAGTGCTGAGGGGAGTGAGGGAAAATGCCCGGATGAGGTGCAAAGCAGGCAAAGCCCAGAGGTAGGAGAGGTGCTCCCTGACCCTTAGCAAGGCCAGCCAGGCAAGATGCAAACGCTCCTTCTCCTACCTCCTTTCCTATGATGCTGAAAACTTTCTAAATTGCTCTATCAGTAAGGCAACCTCCATATGAATCAACAGTTTAATGTGTTCATTTTATTCTTCACTCTCATCTTCCTGGTTTTGCACAAAAGCATGTGAAGGTAGCAGGGTAGGATGTAAAGAGGGATTCCATGTGTGCACGACTAGGAAAGCGGGCAAGGAGGAGGGGGAGTGAGATTCAAACAAAGAAGGAGCCTGGTCAAGAACCTGAGCAGCATGGTGACATCAGGCTCAAGGAGGAGGCCCTGCAGGGCTCATGAAGGGGAATTGCTCAGGGTATAGGTATAGATCTGGAGCTCTTGGGCACCAGCGGGCACTGTTGTTGTTTTGAGTACACCACTCAGCAGCCAGGTGTGCAGGTGGGAGTGAGAGGTCACCTTACTGCAGGTTTGAGATTGGTGAGAGGAAGGAAGGACAGGTGACAACTGAAGAGCAGTGCTAGGGAGTGTGGGAAGCCAGAGGCAGGTCTGCAGTGGAGCACGAAGGGGGTGTGGGGAAGTGGAAGGAGAAATGGATTGGGAAGAGAAGCCCAAGAGTGGCCCACTGGAGTATGAGATCTCAGAGCTTGGCTCATCCAGGGGATGATTAGACAAGCTGTAGAAAACAGGACATTCTTATCAAGGATGTAAAGGAGCAGTAGAGACTGGACCCTGTGGGAGTCTTTCAGGTCAGACCCTGAAGTCCCAGGGAGGTCCAAAGGTCCATCCTCCAGGGGCCAGAGGGCTCCATGACCAGGAAGGCTGGAGACTCCAGCCCCACAGAGGGCAGGAAGCTGAGCAAAGGAGCAGGGAGAGTTTGTGTTAGTGTTTCTTTAAGGCTAAGTAATGAAGTGGCAGAACACAGCTGAAAGATCTTGGAACAATAACCTTGAGTACTGAGCTAATGGGACAAAAAGGACCATTTTAGGAGTTTTAGGGAAACCACTGTCCTAGGGGAAGCCAAGTTCCCTCCTAGAGGAGAAGTGGCTTCCGGAAGGAAGCTGTCTCCCTTGGTGAAGATTAGAGTAGGCACATTTCTATCTACCTTTCCTTCATCGGTGTTCTAGTGTATTTTTTTTTCCAGTGGAGGACTATTCACCTCCATTATATTTTTAGTTTCAATATATACAAGCAGTAGGAAAATGGGTGGGATTGTTTTCTTAGTTCAAATCAGTGCAACATCTGTTTACTGTGCACTCTCCAGGCACAGGGCCTTCGGTTGGCTTCTGGGGTGGTACATCGAACAATTCTGAGGTGGGCTTGTGTTCTGGGGATGTGCCTTGGGAGATGAAGACAAAGATGGTGGAGGTCAGTGGGAGCTTCTGAGGAGAAGCCTGGTCTGGGCTGAGTGAGTCTTCTCTTGGTTCTACTTTGGGTAGGAAGGCCATTTCCACAGCTGTGATGGGGGAAGGCAACAGACCCTGCTGCTGTGTCATAAGATGTAAGGACCATAGTGGGGGTGGGGCAGGGAGAGATTTAAGCTACAAGATGGGATGAAATCACCTAGAGAGCAAGTTGGATGAGAGAGGCAGCAGCCCTGGGCCTGCTCAGGAGCCCATTCTGGTGGATTGGCTTTATGTGAGGCTGAGCAGCCAGCAGAGACCGCTGCGGGTGAGCAGAAGAGGCCCTTGCTCTGGACTGTGTCTGCAACCTGCAGTGTGTTAGGTCACCTTCAGCGGGGCTCAGCCTTCCAATGGGGTTGAGGGGTGAGGGTGGGGGGCCCTGTCGTGGCAACTCTGCTTCTACCTGTGGGTCTGTGAAGGCTACAGGAATGGAGCAGACATTGCATAGCTTTCTTGAGGTTTTCAAATTGCATTTGAGTATAACTTGATTTGCTCTTCCCACACATTGTGTTCAGAAGAAGGCATAGGTAGTATGAAGCTCACAGGTTCAGAGACATTAAATGATTTCCAGTGGCTTTAACATAGTGTAGGAGGAAGCAATAGTCAATGATGTTTTATCTTTTATTCCCAACCCTTTGTGTGTGTGTGTGTGTGTGTGTGTGTGTGTGTGTGTATGTATGTGTATTTATTTCCCCTTAAGATGATGAGTATTTGCAATTTAATATGTACAAGACCTAAGTACCATAGGGGATTGTCTAACAGTATAAATTTATCCCAAATAAGTGAGACTTTTGGCCTTGTCTAGCCTTCTTTTGACATAACCAAGTTTGGAATTAATAAGTGTCTGTGATTCCAGTGCTAACACTGTATGAAACATAATAATCATGGAAAGATGAGAAACTGAAATGAATTGAAGGAAGGTGGCATTGCAACTAAAGCTGTGTGTATATGTGCCATGGAGTCACTCAATGCATTGAACTATCTCTGTGTCATATTTGAGATGTTAGTAAGTCTTATATCGGGTTCCCAATATGAAAGCAGTGAATGCTGATAATTTATTTTTAAATTATTGTTATTATTTTGGTACTGGGGATCAAAAGCTTTGACATAGCTTTGCCAGGCAGGTGATTATGCCACTGAAGTATCTCTCTGGCCTTATTTATTTGACCATTTACAGATCTACTTATAAGTAGCTAATGCACATTTTAAGGGGCACATTTAGAAAATTGAGAAAATATTATATTTCAAAATTAAAAACTTAGTGTTTAATGAGGAAGAATGTGGCCAGTGTGATCCTACACTGTAATAGGGTACATGGATGGATAAAGTGGGAAAGGAGGACCGAATAGCCCTTAATGATATACCAGACAGTGTGCTTAGTGATACACCAGACAGTGTGCTTGGTGATACACCAGATAGTGTGCTTAGTGATACACCAGACAGTGT